TAACAAATGATAATTGCAACTTCATTATAAATCCTACTAATTTGCTACAATTGATTCAGATTCTAGCCATGGATATCAACCGCGATAACTATGAGATTGGACTTCCAGTAATTGAAAAGGCTGGTCTAGCGCACAAAATTGAATTCAGAGAAGGCCCTGCACTACCTGTTCTTGACCAAATGATTGAAGACGTAAGTACATAAAGTATAACAACAAATAAATAAACTGATAACTTGTCTATGATGGTTAATGTGTTTCGAATAATTTTCTTTATAACAGGGCCAATACCATGGATCATATGATTTCATATTTGTGGATGCTGACAAGGACAATTACTTGAACTATCACAAGAGATTAATCGACTTGGTCAAGATTGGTGGATTAATTGGCTATGACAACACCCTATGGAATGGATCAGTAGTTGCACCACCTGATGCACCCCTCAGGAAATATGTTAGGTATTACAGGGATTTCGTATTGGAACTTAACAAGGCGTTGGCTGCTGATCCCAGAATCGAAATTTGCCAGCTTCCTGTTGGTGATGGCATCACTCTTTGCCGTCGCATCAGTTAAAATATTCGTATAGTACTATTGGTGGCAATCAACAACTCATGAGTCATGACGATAGAGGATTTATCATTTTTGAAATCCCCTGTTTTACTCATTCGTTTAATTTTATCATTTTAGTTCGTATTATGGCAAAAGATTGCATTGTCTATGTTACCAAATGCTTATTTCACAATGTATTTGATGAATAAAAAAAGAAAGAAATTCAAGTTGAATGATCAAATGTACACAAACGTCATATGTCAATGGGGCAATGTCATGCTTATTTTCTGTTCATCTTTGAATTCCAAGTACAGTTTTTTTAACTACTTGTATTTTACATTGTTAGATAGTGTGAACCTAATTATTCTAACTACTCTCTCTTTGCTAGCGTTTGATCATGGATTTTCAGATACTTTTGACAAATATTATTTGGATAAAAATTTGAATGAAATTTCATCATGTGTTTGGTCATAGTATTTGAGAAATATATTTTACTTTTTTAGAAAATATGATTTATATCCATAAGTTTTAAAAATATCAAAACTAACCGTAAGTTTGTATTACAAGTCAATTGGATCTTTGTTATAATAATAACAAATAGTTTCCATGACGCTAGAGCAATGTGGTAATTTGAAGTGAGTGCAACAAGCATCATTTTATACATCGTGAAGTAGACAAAACACATTACTTTATTGTCTTGAGTCGATTGTTCATCATTTTTATTAATAAACATATCATCATTTAACATTCACCATATATATTTCATCAGTGCTTTGAAATTAATGCAAAAAATTATGTTATACAACGTAAAGAACAACTATAGATGGTGCTTTTGTAAAAAGAAAAAAAATTGGGGTAAAATTTCAATTTTTCAAAGATACTAAATAATGAGATTTGATTCAAATACTAGAAAAAATTAGTATTTGAAAATTTGAATTATTTGTTAAAAATATTTACCTAATAAAGTGTATGGACAAACACTATTTACTAAATTTTTCTCCAAATATTATTTGAGAAATATATGACCAAACGAGCTCTCGTTAATTTATGTAAACCTTTGATTTCAAACTTTTTGTATCCTCAGTTACAGGTTTTTATAGCTACAGAAATCTAAGCGTATATTTAAGACAGAAAATTATTAGTTTTACGTTTAAATTTTGATTTGCGTCAAAAGTTCTTTTTTTTTGTTAAAATAAAAAGATTCAGGCATAATCGAACATCGCTACATAAATCAAATCGAGCAATATTTTGTCGTTTGCGCAGCACAACACATTCATGATCATAAGCAGGAGTTTGGCATAAATTTTAAATATTTTTCACTTTAATTAAAATTACGGAGTTGTAGTTATCATTTCACCAACTCTTTGCAAATAAATATATAAAATAACGTTCATGCTTGAATGTACAACTTTAAAAATAAAAGATTAGCTAAAAAACAAGTCATAAACTGTTTTTTAATTGGAACGGAAATTAAAGTTGAATTTGAAATTTTCACGTGAAAATTATTTTTAAAATAAAGTGAAAATTTTCAAGAATAAATAAATATTTCTATGGCCAAACTGGTCCAATTTTAATACATTTGACTAACCCTCCTTATCTCAAATATATATTTATTAATTTGTATCACTGTGAAAATCAAATTGACCAATATTGTGATATAAGATGACTCATAGAAATTTGTTATTACATGTACAATTAATTTTTTCAACTTCGACAAGAGGGAGTCGCTGAAATTACAGACGCTTTTCACCTCCAGTTGTAGGTTCAAGACACTAACAGAGTAGAAAAAGGTCGTAATTGTTAGGGAGGGATAAAATTAAGGAAAAATAACTTAAATACACAACAATAAGTTTTATATTCTCTAATTTTCCCTTCTTTTTTTAAATATTACATAATTCCCTTTTTTTAAAATTTTAGTAGAAGTGTATAGATACATAACATTCTCTCTCCTATAATACACAATCCCCCAATATAATGCCTATTTTTTCTCCACTAAAACACTCAATCTTCTAAATCAGATTTTTGAATTTTTAATTATTAATTTTAATTAATTTTAATTAAAACACTCAATTTTTAAATTTTGAATTTCAAAATTCAAAAAATTTGAAATTTCAAAAAACTGCACAATTTCTCTCCCGTTCTTATTGTTCTTCTTACTCCATCATCGATTAGTACAAAGTCTCCAGCTTTCGTCAAAATCATCGATTTTTCTTTTTATGCCTTTCCCTTTTAATCATTCTCAGAAGTTTTTCATCAGATATCACTAACCCTACAACCCCTTCTCTAGAATTTCATATGTCTTTCACTTCCACACCCACTGCCGGTGACAATCCATCTCAGCCGCCGTCGACGGCGGCGACTGTTCCGAAGCTCCGACAGCTGGGAATGGAGAGGACGGGAATTGTTGATGAGAATGGGGCAGAAAATAGAAAAAAATCTTTGCATGATCCTATGAATCTTTAGAAGGATTCAAACAAAGACTCTGGCATATTTTATTGGTTTCTTCTTTTTATTCTTAATCCATCATCGTCTTTTTCTTCTTAATCTGTAATCGTATTAACCCAACATCTTTTTATTATTAATTCATCATCAGTTCGTCTTTTCTTCTCTTTTTTGTTATAATGTATCATTCAATAAGTTTAGTAAATGCGTCATCAACTGTGCTTGATGATACATATAGAATCTGTGTGTACAATGTTTAGTCAAAACACTGATATATGTAGTAGATATGTATCACATGTTTTGCATGTAGTATGAATTTCTGAAAACTAATATCATGTATCAGTAAGGTATTAGTTGTCTAGTTGATGTACTGATACATGTTTTGAAAATTGTTATAATGTATCATTCACTAAGTTTAATAAATGCGTCATCCACTGTACTTGATGATACATATAGAATCAGTGTGTATATTGTTTAGTCAATGTTTCTGATACATGTATTAGATATGTATTACATGTTATAATGTTTTAGTTAATTCACTTATTGAATTCCTTAAATTTTTACTTTTTTCAATCATGTTATGCCTTCATATTATATGTAAAAAGGCTTAATACAAGCAAATAACAGCTGGAACTGAAACAAACGTACATTCATGTATATAATAACAACAATTACACTACGATAGCATATACTGAACTGAACACAAGCAACTAGCACTATATAAAATAGAAAGAGATACGACATGATGAATACAACAATATTCTTCTTATTCCCCAGCGTTTTATCTAGTGATGATTATGATGGCCGGGTAACTTCTCCTTGATCTTCTCCATCATACTCTTCTTCTCATGCTCTGTAGTAGTTGTAGTAGTTGTTGTGGTTCGAGTTCCAACACCATGTGCTTGGTGATGTGGTTCCTCATTCTTGTGCTTTCCACCTGTGAATTTCTCCTTTATCTTCTCTTTCAGCCCTTTCTTCTTCCTTCTCCCACCTTGTCCATCATCCTCCGACTGCACCAAAGTAGTAATTGAATGATATTATATATATCTTGTGCGACTATAAAATGGATAAAATTTCAGTAATTCAACTAAAAAAAAGGTGTCAAATAAATTGATAGTTTGTTCGAACAAACAAACATAAGATGAGAATTGAGAAGGGGCATGATAAAAATTTGAAATTAATATCCAATTAATTGCTGATTTAATGCTGATTAATGATCTGTTACCACAAATTAAGCTGTTTTACTAACAACATGACTTTACCGTTTTCCCCCCCTATTTTTTCTCAACAGTTTTAAATTACCATGTATCATTTACCATGTATCACTACAATCTAAAGTATCACGGCTCAACACATTTAAGGGATTTTTTGTAATTACTAAACTTGTCGGGACAGAATGTAATTATTGAATTACACTATGGGATTCCTTAAATTTATACTAAAATTAATAATAAACCTCAATATAAATAAATATATTGTCATCTAAAGTAAGATATCCTACTAGCCATACAATTTCACTCCGCTTTCGTCCAAAATCTTATTTATCCGTAAAAGTAGAAGTCTTCCATCCATACATGACCACCATATATGATACTTAAACTCAATAAAAATAATCGTTCATTAATATATGTTTTTTTCACCAAATATTCATCCTGATTATTTGTTAGTTTTAAGTTAGCAACCACCTACCTTTATTGATTATCATTTAGAGTAAGTAGTAATCGTAGAATTTCTTTAGAAAATATAAGCAGTGCGGTGTCCACTTGACATAAATAGAGAATACTTTTCAACTTAAATTGTCAAAGAAAAGAACCTAATCTGGAATTAGGAAAGAGTGAGGCTGGTGGTGAGTATTGTTAGGTAATGAATTTTAAGTCAAAGAAGGGAGTTGGTCGTTTGGTTATATTCCTCCAAGAAACAGCCAAATATTCACCAACTTCCAATTATTGTCACCCAAACAACCCCCCCAACTAGTTACACAATATGTCTCTCTTGTTTTCTACTACTATAAATTAAGCCATTTTTCGTCTCTACAAAAGCAGGTTGCTTACCTAAGACTAATCTACATCAGAAACAAAATATAGCTCTTCAATACCAACAAGCAATGGCAAGCAATGGAGAAAATGGTAGACACCAAGAAGTTGGACACAAGAGTCTCTTGCAAAGCGATGCCCTATATCAGGTAACCAAATTAAACCCCACATTTTAATTCCTATTGTCATACAAGAAATTAATATGCAAAACCTGTGTTGATCTTAATAAATTGTTTGAACAGTACATTCTTGAAACAAGTGTGTACCCGAGAGAGCCTGAAGCCATGAAAGAGCTAAGAGAGATTACTGCAAAACACCCTTGGTAATAACTCATTTTCTCACTAATTACTTCATCCAATTCGATACTTATTGTATGCTGATATCTTCATTTTGTGGAAAAAAAACAGGAACCTTATGACCACCTCTGCTGATGAAGGTCAATTTTTGAATATGCTTCTCAAACTCATCAATGCCAAAAACACCATGGAAATTGGGGTTTTTACTGGTTACTCTCTGCTGGCAACTGCTATGGCTCTTCCTGATGATGGCAAGGTAATTAACTTATACCAATTTCTTACCCATGATAAACTTATAAATTTTGTACTAATCTGCTTAAACTGATTCAGATTCTAGCAATGGATATTAACCGCGATAACTATGAGATTGGTCTTCCAGTAATTGAAAAGGCTGGTCTAGCGCACAAAATTGAATTCAGAGAAGGCCCTGCACTTCCTGTTCTTGACCAAATGATTGAAGACGTAAGTACATAAAGTATAACAACAAATAAATAAATTGATAACTTGTGCACAATGTTTAATGTTGATCTTTCTTTTTACAACAGGGCCAATACCATGGATCATATGATTTCATATTTGTGGATGCTGACAAGGACAACTATTTGAATTATCACAAGAGATTAATTGACTTGGTTAAGGTTGGTGGAGTAATTGGCTACGATAACACCTTATGGAACGGATCAGTAGTGGCACCACCTGATGCACCCCTTAGAAAATACGTTAGGTATTATAGGGATTTCGTATTGGAACTCAACAAGGCCTTAGCTGCTGATCCCAGAATTGAAATCTGCCAGCTTCCCGTTGGTGATGGCATTACCCTTTGCCGTCGTATCAGTTAAAATATTCAACATGCCACCCACAGGATTCATAACAACGGGGAATTTTATCATTTTTTAAATTCTCTGTTTTCAGTATTCAATTGCATTGTCTATGCTGTTTATTTCACAGTGTATATTCTTATAAATTAAAAAAGAAATTCATGGTCAGATATGTAATGTTCAAAATTTATGATTGGTGAGAATAGCACGACATAACTTATGCTCGGTCCTCAAAGTATATCATATTCTTGCAAATTTCTGCAAAAACTAAACACACCAAATTACATGTAGTTCTTTCAACTGATCTTTTCCAAGTACTTCGTTAGATAGTGAAAGAAAATTACCATAGATCCGGTGTCCACCTATTAAATTAATATTAGTGCATTGTAAAGTCTACTTCTGAGGGTAGTTCGACAGGGGTTCAAATTTGAGATCACTTACTAAGTACAGAGGAATCTCAATCATCAATCATCAACGTATATTGATTCTTGAAAGCTGATTATTTTTTTTAAGACTAAACTCTTTAATTAATTTTATGTTGTAGGTGCTCTTTTATTTTTCAAAAGTGTTTATCAAAAAAGTACTTCTGGTTAGAATATGATAATTTTAGTAGAAATTTGTTTTTTAAATTTAATACTTTAAGTTATAAGAAATTTTAGAATATACTACATGGAAGTTGGAATTTTTCATCCTCAAAATAATACTCCCTTTTAAAACATAAATTCTTAGAAAATATTCATGCTCAACCACAAGCTACTAAAACAATTCCATGCCCATTATTTGCAAGACAACTATTCACCTAAATTTCCAGCTTTAAGTCAGCAACCAACTACTTTTAGTAAGTATCACTTATCACTGTGTTAACAAATCAAAAGAGTTACTTAATCCCAAAGCTTTTTTTAGAAATTATGGGCAATGCATAATTGTCCACTTGATCAACATACATTTTTCAAATAGAAAAGGCTGAATGATCTGGTAGACTTGGCTTCGTTTGTAAGTTGAACCACTGTACTTCTGATTTTGTCAATTGAACCCTTAAATTCATTTAAACACGATATTTCAAACCCCTTTCTTATCATTTGTGTGTGCATGTATTACACTCAATTTACACATGAAATTTCATGTCATTTTTTAATGACACATCAGTATTACTATTATTTTTTAATGACACATCAGAAATTAAATATTTAAAAATAAATAATATTTTTAAAAAAGGTGCAAATTTTTCTCTCTATACTCATTTTCCATATTCTCACTTCATCTTCTTCCTCCCCACCCTCTACTCTTCATCCAAAAAATAAAAATCACCATTTTTTGTCTTCCTCACACTCAAATTTTTTTTTATTGACAAAAATGTAAGAGATTATAGTTAGCTTTTACATATGTTTTCAGTTTTATTTATTTAGATTTGGTAAAAAGATTTATCAAGAAAACTTCAAATTGAAAAATATATATGTTTATAAGTAAATTCAAGCAATAGATCTTGAAAAACTAAGTTTTAAAAAGATGAATGAAATTTATTTTAACAAAAGTTTTTTATTATGATTATATTAATGATATATATATCAAAAAGAGAAGAAAATAAATTGGATAGGGGCAGGGGTGGGTGGGTGGAGAATCTAGGGTTGAAAAGAATAGGAAAAAGGTTGGACTGAGCTGAAGAAGAATAAAAAGAGAGAAAGGATTGTGGCGGCAATGAGTTGAGTTGGTTGAAGAAGGAGTTTTTGATTATTTTTTGGAAAAGTTGTGTGGAGAAGAAGATAGATTCTTTTCTTTTTTTATTATATAATTTTAATAATTTAAAACTTAAAATTTTAAAAAATAATGCTTACTCGCCTTAAATGCGTGTTGTCACACTCTCTCGCCAAGTCAGCTATTTTAATGTCACATAAGCATGGTCACTAGTCAGAGGGGTTTAACATATTGTGTTTTATTTAGTTTAGGGATCCAGATGACAAAGAGGTAAGTAGAAGGATTTAAAATACAAACTGATACAAGTATAAAAGTCCACCAGACCATTCCGCCAATAGAAAATAGTATGACATTATGAATACGTCAACAAAAGAAGGCTAATGTGAAAATTGGGAAAATAAGAGGTTGGAGGTGAGTACTGTTAGGTAATTGTAGACAATAAAATTCGCGTCGAGAAAACAATAATCAAGAGCGGAAAATTATAGCAACAATCGATTTTATTATTTCAAGTGCGAGTGTTACAATCTCTATAATTCCTCTGAATTCGCCTTTTCAAATATAAATTCAAGGGCTTTAAAGTTTGTTCTTGAATCTATGATGAACTTGAACTTGAACTTTATCTTGACTTTTATTTGAACTCAAGGGCTTCGAGCTTGTTCTTGAATTCGGTGGTCTTGATATTGATTGTTCTTGAACTTGAATGCTTGAATTCTTAAACTTATAGCTTTGTAGAGAATTAAATGGCGTTTGTACCACAGAGTTTCTCTAGCTTCTTGTTTAGAATTTTCTGTCTCCTTTTCTGAATTATGAGGACCCCTATTTATAGTTTTAGAATAGAGGAGTTGCGATTGGAATATGATTCCGTTCAACCAATCAGATTTAAGTGACATGACATTTGGGCTTTATGGAGTGGGCTTGTCATCTTTGACGCATGTCATGATTCTATTGGTTTTCTTATTTGACTTGGCATGCCACATCATCTGCACACGTGGCGCCAAGATGGGCTCTAGAATGAGATGAGATTGAGTTTAACTTCATCCAATGTAGCTCAAATCAATTAATTTAAACTTTAATTAAATCCATATTTATTGGACTTAAATATTTAACTCAATTATATCAATCCACAATATTTATTTGGATTAATATATTTATGAATTCAATATAATCCGAATCATTTTATAAATTTATATTTAATAAATTTTAAATGATTAAAGTAATGAATATGAAGTCAAAACTGTGTTGGTCGTTTGGCTTCCTAGTAACAACAAAATATTCACCAAGTTTGAATGTCTCTTTTCACATGTTTCATTGGTACCACTATAAATTAAGCCATTTTTGTCTCTACAAAAGCAGGTTGCTTACCTAAGACTAGTCTACATCAGAAACAAAAGATAGCTAGCATTAACATATCCACTTCAATACCAAGAAGCAATGGAAGAGTCTCTTGTAAAGTGATGCTCTTTATCAGGTAAAACCAAAAACTACATGCACTTTTGCTTTATGTGTTCATCCATATTGTGACACAATAAATTCACTTGCATGTGCAAAAGCTAGCTAGTGTAATGAACATGTTGATTTAAATCAATTTTTTTATATGTGTTTCTCTAGTACATTCTTGAGACAAGCCAGTACCCAAGAGAGCCTGAAGCAATGAAAGAGCTAAGAGAGATCACTGCAAAACACCCTTGGTAATAACTCATTTTCTCACTTTAATTCATCCAATTCGATACTCAAATATTGTAGCTGGAACTAAGTGTGAAATGTTTATTTGGTGAATAAAAACAGGAACCTTATGACCACCTCCGCCGATGGAGGACAATTTTTAAATATGCTTCTCAAACTCATCAATGCAAGAATACCATGGAGATTGGTGTTTGTACTGGTTACTCTCTGCTGGCAACTGCCATGGCTCTTCCAGATGATGACAAGGCAATTAACTTATACCAATTTCTTCTAGTCTTACCGATAATAATTTTAACTTATAATATTGTACTAATTTGCTAGAATTGATTCAGATTCTAGCTATGGATATCAACCGCGATAACTATGAGACTGGACTTCCTGTAATTGAAAAGGCTGGTCTAGCACACAAAACTGAATTCAGAGAAGGCCCTGCACTACCTGTTCTTGACCAAATGATTGAAACACAAGTACATAAAGTCCATGAACATAACAATTATTTGAACTATCACAAGAGATTTAACTGATTTGGTCAAGGTTGGTGGAGTAATTGGCTATGACAACACCCTATGGAACGGATCAATAGTTGCACCACCTCAGAAAATACGTTGGGTATTATAGGGATTTCGTGTTGGAACTCAACAAAGTCTTAGCTGCTGAATCGAAATCTGCCAGCTTCCCGTTGGTGATGGCATTACCCTTTGCCGTCAGTATCAGTTAAAACATATAGTTATTGTCTATTTGTGGCAACCATGAACGGAAGGCATGCATGCCACTACTGAACTAGCGCATAACGATGAAAGATTCATTATTTTTGTAAGGATTGCATTGTAATAGTATATTACCTACTTTTAATTTATAAAAATAACACTATACACATTTAAGATGTTAAATATCAAGTTATAAACAAACTTTTTAATAATAAACTACTTATACCATATTATTATCAAGTTATAGCATATCGTTATCAAGTTATAGCATATCAAGAAATAATATATTATTCTCATTAATTTTTTAAAATAATAATTAACTTATTTAAATAATTCAATTACCTTATTTAAACCAATGTAGTTAATTAAATTTATTATTTTAAGTTACCTTTTTTAAACAAACTCTTAATTAATGTAATTTAAATTAAATGTTATATAGTTACCTTTTTTAAGATAACTACAAAATAATAGGGATTTTATCTCTAAAACAGTTACATTTTTATTTTTAAAACTGTAAAACGTTACCTTTTCACCATAACTCGCACGCCTAATTTATTTTCACCAAATTTTCTCTAAAAATCATTCCTCTCTTAACAGTCTTCTTCAAGAATTCTCAAATATTTGCATTCAAATCTTCATTTTTAGCACTCAAATCTTCAACTCTTGCGACAAACAAACCGTACAATGTCGAAAAGAGGCAACGAAACCCCGAGAAAAAGTAGAAGATTGAATGAAGAAGCAAACTCAGACGATTTTCATGCTCCATCTTTCAAAATTTTATCACAAACACAATCTCAACCTTCATCTGTTAAAGTTAAATCTAGATCAGGGAAATCAACAATTGAAAAAAAAAACATCCAAAGGAAAACGAGAAGAAGAGAAAAGGGAAAGAAAAGAAAAATGTAGATGAATCTGAGAAAAGGACGAAAGAAAGAGAAAATAAGAGGAAAGGAAAAGAAATCGAGGAATCATCAGATTCTGAATCTGATTTTGTGGAAGAGTTGATAAAATTAAAATCCAAAAAACCAAGAGCATTTGAAATCGATACTTCACATTTACAAGAAGAAGAAGAAACAGTTAAACCCCAAAAAAGTTCAAAAGTTAGTAAAAGTTAATTTTTTAAATTTTTTTTATGTTCTGTTATTTTTATTTTCAGTTATTTGGGTATAAAATAGTTAAAATATAAATTTTGTGTAAATAAATAATTTATGAATTGTGTATGATTCATTGTATGAAATTACAGATCTCTTCATATTACAATATCAATTGCTGAAACATGTATTTTTTATGTATGATTCACTGTATGAATTGTGTATGATTAACTGTATGAATTGTGTATGATTCACTGTATAAATTTTATATGATTCACTGTATGATTCACGGTGTATATAAAATGTGTATGAATTGTGTATAAATTTTTTTGTATCAAGTTTTTTGATACTGTTGAATAGTAATATCCATAATTAGTTATACTTTATGTTTTGATTTGTATATTTTGGTGTTGAATATATTGTGTATGAAAGAATGTTGTAAGTTTGTTTGAAATGTGTATGATTATATTGTATTATGTTTTGTATACTATGTGTATGAATTATGTATTTTTCAATATTATGTTGTAAGTTTGTTTGAATTGTGTATGATTTACTGCATTATGTTTTGTATACTACGTGTATGAATTATGTAGTTTTCAATATTATGTTGTAAGTTTGTTTGAATTGTGTATGATTCACTGTATTAGTTTTGTATTACATGTGTATGATTAATGTATTTAATTTTTACAATTTTTTAGGAGAAGAAGACACAAACACATTTGTCTTCATGTATTAACATGAATGTGTTTGCGGATTTGTTGACCTTTTTAGGTCAAGATAAGTTTCAACAATTCCTAGATGAAACACCTTTTGGATTTTTTTATAATTCGCATCACATTAAAATCCAATGTCAATTGTTGAGACACTTATTTATAATGGGGAATGAAAATGTTAGGGATGACTTTGGCATTATGGAAAATCAAAGAATGATGAAAGCGCAATCAGTGAAAGCGAAGTTACAGGAACAATTGCTAGCAAGAAGGGTGGACGTCGAACTCATAAAGAACAAGTTATGGATACCACCAATTATCCTACTCCAAAATTTCGTATCAGGAAGTAGAAATTTTCATGGCACAATGTACATTTATTTGAATGACTTGTTTGTTTTTTTTAACTTATGAACAATTTATGTATTTTTCCAGTTTTTTTATTATGACTACTCTGATGGTTTTATATAAATTACTACTGATTATTACTAAATGTGTCTCACTTTAACATATATGAACACTGTACGAATCATGTATGAAAATCATATGAATTATGAATGTCACATTAAAATTTGATATATAGTACATAGTAATGTTAAATTATTCCATAAATTTGTTTTGCATGAATACTATACACTTTCAAATACAAACAGAAAGGGATATTAATTATATTACTGGTATGAATACTGTATGAATTATATCATACAATTATACATTAATAAATGTATATCACCATCTTGCATACATTATTCATACCAATAATATACATACAATTTGTTTCTGTTTGTATTTTTATTATGACTACTGATGGTTTTATATAAATTATTACTGATTATTACTAAATGTGTCTCACTTTAACATATATGAACATTGTATGAATCATGTATGAAAATCATATGAATTATGAATGTTATATTAAAATTTGATATATAGTACATAGTAATGTTAAATTATTCCATAAATTTGTTTTGCATGAATACTATACACTTTCAAATACAAACAGAAACAGATATTAATTATATTACTGGTATGAATACTGTATTAAAAATGTATGAATTATGACAAATTATAAAATATATTTTTCACAATACAAATAGAAACAAATTGTATGTATATTACTGGTATGAATAATGTATGAAAACTGTATGAATTATAACATATTATAATTTAATATGTATAACATAAACATACATTATTTTTTTATATGCAAGTATTGAATTTGTATAAATGTATAAATTTTGTATGTAGTCCCCATTATGAATGCAATAACTGAATAAATGTTATATGATTATATGAATTATTATTGTTAACATATGTCAATATATGAACAGTTGTATATACAATGTATGACATTTGTATGAAAAGTAATATTATTCAATAAAAAAAACATTTTATAACAATGTAATGCCTCAAAAACACAGATTTAACATTACGACATCATTGTTTTTGTACAGGATAATTTGAACAAGTCTTCCTATTGTGTCCAAACTGATGACATCTACTGTTTGCTTTTTGTCTTCTTGAATTTCACATCTGCGAACCCCTCCCGCCGTTCAAGTTTGGGTCTTTCTGCTGCTCTTTTTGGACCAGGCGGCATCAATTTAGGATCTGAAATATAACTTGGTATATCCCATGTACGCTCGACAGGAATGACATAAGCATCTTTGAAATTCTTGAGGCTATAAAAAGCAGAACATATGCAATATAACATGGGAATTTAACATATGCAATATAACATATGCAATATAACATGGGGAAAAAATACGACACATTAATAAAATATTAAAAAAAACTAACCTGATGAATTCCATTTGCTACCATGTTTAATTAAAATTGACACAATTTTCTCCATCAAATCAAATCTAAACTTTTTCAACCTTCAATTTTAATTGTTTTTCCAAAAAAAAGAAGATAAAATATGACAGAATTCGAATATATGAATATAGTTCAATTTCTGGAAAAAAAAAAGATACACGTTTATGGGAAGAAAGATAACAGAATACAATTTTTTAAGGATAAAAAATCAAAAATAATTACCATTAAAAACGGATTGAAATAATTAAGGTGCATATCTATAATTAATATATTTTAAAATCCCTTAAAAGGTGCACATTTTGTTATTAGTTAATAAGAGTAACTACATTCAAGGAAATTATCCATTTTTAATTATTCATTTTTTAATTTTATTTTTCGTCCTATTTAGAATAAATATTTACAATATTTTAATTTAAAGAAATGCTATAAGTTGATATATTAAATGTTATAGAATGAAAATCAAACTCTTATGCCATAACTTGAGAATAACACAATGTATTTTGATAAATAAAAAAAAGTTCAACTTCAAAGATGGAAGGTCCAAAATTTAACGGGTCATCAATGGGAATTCCGTTACGTGAGCAAACTGGTGGAAAATGCAGTTTCGAACCAAAAATTGAAGTAATACTCTAAAAATCAACGAGAAATTTGCTCCAATAGGAGAACTTTTAGCCCTGTTTTGTGTAATTTGCAAGAGTAGTTTGGCGGGAAGTAACCTTGCTCAAATATGTCTGGGCCAGGCATGACTTGTTCAAAATTATATTAGGCGTGTCATTACTTATGCCAGCATAACTTCGAAAAATTATGGCAACACCAACCCGAAATATATTCTATTGGTGCGATTTTAAATATTCAATTTCAGACTGACCAGGGGTGGAGAGGAGTAGCATAATTTATTTTTACTTTAACTTGACTCGTACACTTTCCGTTTTACTCTCAATAAATACTCTTATAGGCTAATACCTATACAATTATTATAGTATATTTGAAACCACAAATTATAAGTGTTTTTTTAAAAATTTTGTTGTGCTCCAATGAACACGGATATACCATATATAAAATAAAATGGAGCAGTAACATTTTTCACTTTCTGCATTAGGATTCTATTTTGAACGTGATTGATAATTCTTTTCTCAAATATATTTAATCTAATATAATAGTCAAGTTAACAAATGCTAAGATAAGATAACTCGTATAACTTTGTTGTCTAAAAACAATTCATACCATTTGAATTCCGAGAAATTAAAAGAATACAACACATAATTTTGAATTCTCATCCTCAAAATAATCAATTATCATACCTTTAACAATGTTTTTTAAAAAAATATCCGGCTAATAAACAAAAACCAACAAACTTAAGAGCATAGTAAAATATTTCCATGTCCATTATTTGTAAGACAACAACTACATAAAATTAACAATATTATGTCATGTCCAACCAACTACTTTTGTATATTAGTAGAACTACTTATCATTGTGTTCACAGAGTTACTAATCGTAGAGCGCTTTCTTAAGAAAATTATGCAAATGTCCACTCACTTGACATGGGTTATGACTCTCTTCAAATAAATAAAGAATACACATTATTTCATTCTGAATTTGTCAAGGGAAGTAGCTTAATTTAAAATTAGGAAAGAGAGAAGCTGGTGGTGGGTACTGTTAGTCAAAAAAAGGAGGAAGGAAAGTAGGAGACTTCACCAACTTCCAATCATTTTCAGCCAACCAAACTCCTCATTTCTCTCTTGTTTTCTTCTACTATAAATTAAGCCATTTTCATCTCTAAAAAGCAGGTTGCTTACTTTAAACACTTTTTTTATCTATTTCAGAAACAGCAAGATATATAGTTTAAAAATATATCCATAAGCAGTTAGCAATGATGAGCAATGGAGAAAACAGTAGACACCAAGAAGTTGGACACAAGAGTCTCTTGCAAAGCGATGCCCTATATCAGGTAACCAAATTAAACCCCACATTTTAATTCCTATTGTCATACAAGAAATTAATATGCAAAACCTGTGTTGATCTTAATAAATTGTTTGAACAGTACATTCTTGAAACAAGTGTGTACCCGAGAGAGCCTGAAGCCATGAAAGAGCTAAGAGAGATTACTGCAAAACACCCTTGGTAATAACTCATTTTCTCACTAATTACTTCATCCAATTCGATACTTATTGTATGCTGATATCTTCATTTTGTGGAAAAAAAACAGGAACCTTATGACCACCTCTGCTGATGAAGGTCAATTTTTGAATATGCTTCTCAAACTCATCAATGCCAAAAACACCATGGAAATTGGGGTTTTTACTGGTTACTCTCTGCTGGCAACTGCTATGGCTCTTCCTGATGATGGCAAGGTAATTAACTTATACCAATTTCTTACCCATGATAAACTTATAAATTTTGTACTAATCTGCTTAAACTGATTCAGATTCTAGCAATGGATATTAACCGCGATAACTATGAGATTGGTCTTCCAGTAATTGAAAAGGCTGGTCTAGCGCACAAAATTGAATTCAGAGAAGGCCCTGCACTTCCTGTTCTTGACCAAATGATTGAAGACGTAAGTACATAAAGTAAAACAACAAATAAATAAATTGATAACTTGTGCACAATGTTTAATGTTGATCTTTCTTTTTACAACAGGGCCAATACCATGGATCATATGATTTCATATTTGTGGATGCTGACAAGGACAACTATTTGAATTATCACAAGAGATTAATCGACTTGGTTAAGGTTGGTGGAGTAATTGGGTATGACAATACTCTATGGAACGGATCAGTGGTGGCACCACCTGATGCACCCCTTAGAAAATACGTTAGGTATTATAGGGATTTCGTATTGGAACTCAACAAGGCCTTGGCTGCTGATTCCAGAATTGAAATCTGTCAGCTTCCTGTTGGTGATGGTATCACTTTGTGTCGCCGCATCAGTTAAAATATCAAGGCATTATTTTTGAAATTTCCCCTATTTCGAATTTTTCATTATTTTACGCTTTATTTTTAATTCTGTCTTTTCTGGTAAAAAATTGTTGTCTATGTACCTATTGATTAATTTTACAATGTATTTTCATAAATAAGAACAAAAGTTCAAGTAAATTAAGTTTCAAGGTCATTGTCTAGTTATACAAAATACCCAAATGATTAAAAAAAAAAAATCTCAATTTCAGATTAACCAAGCTGGGGAGGATTAGGACTGGGAAATAAGACTTGATATTTTTGGGGTTCATGATAGGTAACCCATTTTCTGTAGGTCCAGCCTAGCTGAATTGTAGGTCCAATACTCAGTGGACTGTGATTTAATTGCAACTGTCCCAACATTAAAATTGAAGATGGCAGTTGTGGCACAAATTGTCTTCATGTAAATGAAATTTGTGGTGTTCTATCGCGTTTCTAACACCATGTTTTCTTTACAAAAAAGATTTGTCTCTCTCTGTAGAAGAAAGTTACATTATACAACTGTTATTTAAAATGAAATAACATTTTGTTTGTTATGTACCCGAGATTCTGGTCAAAACAAGTAATGTGATTTACTTTTCTCTTGAGCCAAGTTGATGAATGTTAAAATAAAGTTACAAATAGAAATTCATTATTCATAATATATTAAACTTGCCAAAAAATATCTAAATATTGCGGGTAAATGGAATTTTGTCAATTCCAAAATAAATAACTAAAACTTCTTCTGATTTTCTCCTGGCGTAATTATTTTTTAAACAAGAAAAAGGAACCAAGTCATGTTACTTCACAAAGAAGAGGACCATACAAAAATTATTGAAATACACATCTCACATTCCTTTTTATTTTTAAAAACTTTTAAAATTTATTATTTCTCTCCTAATGTATTTAATATAGTTGAGCTAATATTTAAGGCAAAATTGTATATAATAGCAAACTAATAACCTAAATTAAATGGAATAGCTAGGGTTGATTTAATTGTGCTCCATAGCAAACATTAGCTAAAATTTGCCAGCGTCTCTCTCCCAAAAATCTCGCTCGCCACTCTTCATTCTCGCTCGCCTCTCTCGCTGTATACACAGAAGTATATAATTCTGTTTCTGTATTGTGTAAAGCGAGAGAAAGTTGTATATACACATGCAAAAATGTATATTTTCGTGTTATACACTTAATTATACAATTTACAAACATTTTACTTCAAATATTGCAGAGAAAAAGGCCAACGAATTATACAATTGCGAATTATACAATTGCAGTGAAATACAATTTTCTCTAGCTTTATACAACATAAGTGTATATATTGTGTTTCTGTTTTTGTATAAAGCGAGAAAAACATATATCTTCTTGCTATACACTTATAATTATGCAATATACATACATTTTAATTCGATTCAACTGTATGCAAAACAAATTATACAATTGCAGCGAAATAGGCCAGCGAATTATACAATTTAGGCCAGCGAATTATACAATTGTATATGTATAGCAAATTATACAGTTTTATATTTGCTATGAAGTGCAATTATGCAAAGTTTGTTATAGCATACAAATATGAATTTTTTGTTTGCTATATGTGAAAGTTGTCCAATATTTAATATATTTAAAGTATATATTTCAGTTTATTTATAATATATTCGAGCTACATATAATATATCCGAACTAATTTTAATGTATTTAAATTACATATTATTTATTCAGTTTATATCATAATGTATTCGAGATGCTTTTTGATGTATCCTAAAAATAGAAGTTCCTTGCACAGAGGAAAGGCAGCCCACAACCCACGTGTAATGCCCGAACTCAGTCGACACACGAAAGCTAAACGTAACGTTATAACGAAATAAAAAGTCAAAGCTGCCCTTCTGAATTATGATGATTACGCAAAGACACAATACTTCCATCTTTATCAAAATTAATTAATACAGTTATTACTGAATAATTTCTTACCCAACTGTGAGAATAATGCACAAGTCAAATGTAAATTAAAAAAATTATGTTCTTAAAATTAAACACTAGAAAAATATTTAAAACAGCAATTCAGTATGCTCTACCATTGTTAGTAAGGTAAAAGAAAACTCAATTTTTAGTCTAGCAGTTATCTTTTCAAATTAGTATTACAATTTTTTCTCAAATTTGGACTAAAATAACGAACTAGTTTACTATTAGTCGATTTTATTAAGCTACTGCATCTAGAAAAGGTATCGTCGTACATTTAAAAAATGAATTGACATGACGAAAAGATGACCACATTTTATTTTCATCTTCTTCTCTTCTTTTTCTCTCTCTCCTACTTGTACGATTTTTATGAATAGTTTTCCTCTGTTCCACAGCTTACATAAACCACGACTCCTTTCCCTTTTTCTTCTTGTTGAAATTTTCATCAAATTTGTTGAATTTTGAAGTTAATTCGTTTGGTTAATAATTTGATTCTTCCATCATGAAAAGAAAGGGGATGGAAGAATTAGATGATCAAAACAGGCCGATTGATAGACTCCCCTTTGACCTCTTGGCTCACATTTTTGCTATGCTTACTTGTTTCAAGGATTTGGCTCAGTTAATTTCAGCTTCTTTTTCTTTTTCCCCTTTTTGTTTAATTTGTTCTTTGTGTTTATTTGTCGTTTTTTGGTACTTGTTGTAGGACAAGTGCTGTGTGCAGGAAATGGAGACAGGGGGTGAAGGAATCGTTAGCTAGAAGAGAAAAAATGAGTTTTTCTGGCTGGAAAGTGGATGATGATTCAACAACTCGCCTTGTGCTTCATGCTTACAGTCTCAAGGAACTTGACATGTATGTATGTCTATATAATTAGTTTTGTACTCTATGCTTGCTACAAGTTAGTTTATTTCGTATACTCTTTTAACTGAAATATAGATGTTTGCAGTACATTTGATGAAACGCTATCTAAAAATGATGGAACTTAAAAGGATTTTGAGGTTGAGAATGCTTATAGTAGTAGTAAACAGAAAATTCGAGCGACTTTCTTGGACTAATTAACTTCAGTAAGACTTTATAGTCATGTTTAGACCATTGATGGTCTTCTTTTCAACTTTTGCAATCAAGAGTAATTAATTGCTCTTTTCATCTATCTTAAGTAAGATGAGCAACACTTCAACTTCTGAAAATCTGGCTAGGTCTAGACTGTGTGGCCGTTAATAGATTCACCACATTGTCTTACCTGTGAGCTGCTCTCTCTTTGATCAGTGATACAATAACCAATAGATCGATGAAGCCATCTAATCGTGCAGAGTTACTAGTATTAAAGAGTATATACATTTTTATTTCTATATGAGATCCTATTTTCTGCAACACTCGATTGATTTATAGCTATTATATTAGTCGTCACATATCAATAAATTGAGTTCCATGCTTTCTTAACCATCCTGAAGTATAATTGGGCGGGGGATATAATCAGATTTACAGGTATTCTAATCTAAAAAGCACCTGCAACCGTTTTGGTTCTTTTTCGTTGTTTCAACTTTAGATGTTTTAGTGTTCAAAAATACAATATAATGATGATTAGGGAGATAACTTGTGTGATGTACTGTTCTGACTTGTTTGCTTTCTCCAGTTCGAGGAGCCGTTGGGGTTGTCAAATAACCGATCGCGGGTTGTACCAATTGTCAACTGCAAAATGTGTCAGCAATCTATCATCACTATCTTTATGGGGCACTACTGGGATCACAGATACAGGTGTTGTTCAGCTGGTATGTCGTCCTCATTGTTTATCGTGTCTGTGATCGTGATATTAAGTAGGTCTAGTTAGATGTTATTTTAGAGGTTTATGTCTATCGTTATCATGCTTACTTGAAGATATTTTGATAATGACATTTTGAACTTTCACACCTTTAATTTTGTTGCTTTGCATGCATATGTTTTGATTCCCCGAATAAGGAAGATGTTTGTTAGGAAAAAAGGTTGATGGCTAAGGCGCTGGAGCTATCTTGTTACCTCAATCTGTACTTAACACAATTGCTTTTAGAATTGGAAAGAGAATCATATATTGATTAGAGAAGAGAGATTTCTTCACCTGTTTAAATCTGCCTGTACTTTTCGGTGGAATTAGCTGCTTATGTATAGTTCAAGTAGACTATTGCCTCATTTAGTTTTGGGTTTTCTGATAGATCTCCAGAGCTAATTCTCTACAGCATCTGAATATTGGTGGTACATTTATAACAGACACGTCCTTGTTTGCTATTGCTGGTAGCTGCCCACACTTGAAGGTAAGTCTCCGAAAATTCCACATCTTAAGGTCGCATCACCAATTCACTAGTAGGTTCTAACCTCTTTTTTTAATTTTTATGTTTACTTTCTCCATTGTTATAATAAGATATAACACGAAAGTGTTTGATTCACGGGATTTTTAAGATACGAATACTTGTCCATATCTTTTGCAGTCTATTGTGCTGTGGGGCTGCCGTCATGTAACTGAAAATGGGCTTCTAGCTTTAGTAAATAAGTGTCGCAAACTAGAGTCTATCAATGCATGGGGCATGAGGGTTACCGTGGACTGCTTTGTCGGCCTACTCACTATTAGCCCAGCTCTACAAATAGAACCTAAAGGAATGCTGCCTAATATTGCTGTCTTCTGAGGAGCCTTTAAGTTCCTGTGCGTCCTTTGTCTTTGGAAGGGCAATCCACCTGAATTGTTATTGCATTATATCTTGTGTACAGCTTGTCAATTGTTTCATTGACCAATAATGCTTTGTATTTATTTGGACATTGCCTGCTGCAGGGCGTCGAAAAGATCCGATCTGCTAGTAATTATTAAAATTCCATTTCTCCTTTGTCAGATGATGCATTTGGAATCTAAAAATCCTAAAAATTTATGCTAGTGTTCAATCCAATTCATAGAGATTTCGTCGCACTGTAGAAGTATCACATGATATATATTGTGGTATTATATAAAAGCTGAAGCATTTTAACACTCTAGGTAGCAACATGAGGAACATAACATTTTTCATACTGAAAAAATTAACCAAAATTCAGTTGAAGAATAAGACTATCATTGTCAACATACCAAGGGGGAAAAACTGGCAGCTAGAAAATGCACATGGGATGTGATAAAAGTATCTGTTACATGTTGATACTCTTCTCCAATCCCTTGCTTACTTCTATATCCAAATCTCCTATAAAATGACAAGTTATATTTTACTAGGAAAATGTCAAGTTGAACATTCATCATCTCAGACATGCCGAAGTGGATTCTAGTGTATACTGTACCTATTCCGACTCCATAATTCTACACAGGGTAATATAGTAGATATCGAGCATCCGTGGATGAAACTCATGTAACTTCTGCGTGGAACTCTCTTTTTCTTCTCATAGTAGAAACAACACCATTACAGAAGACAATGAAAATAGGTATAAGGTAGTGGAAAAATGGATTGTTGAAGCATGGCCTGTTAATTGCACGGACCCTGAAAACATTCCAGCAGTATTGGTTGCTGTAGGA